CCGAAGGTTCGAGAAGGGCGTGGCTGGGCAGCATGCTGGCGTACGTGCTGGGTTATGGGTGTCGACAAATCAAGGAAACCTGCAGCAGACAGGATGTTGAACATTTCTAGGAAAGATCAGGGAACATAAAGCAGATAGAAAATAAATGATGTGTAATGACTCATATTGTGAACACATTGAAATTCCATATCAATTGTGGGAAATTTGGATAAATTTGGAAGTGCGGGTAGATAGGGGAATTACATTTTTAATGATTTTTTATGTAACAGAAGATTAGATTCACTTTTAGATTAAACTTTTAAATATAATCATTATTTTTTGGGGGGGTTATAAAGTTTAACAAAAAAACTTCTCTGTCTACCTGACTTTTTCCTACTGCAATAGATTCAATTATTGTTTAAAATGGGGATTTCGTAGAGCACTTTATATAACAATTAAGAACCTCAGTAATCAGCTCTATGTGTATCAATTTTCCGATGGCAGATATTGCATCTTCCGATCGGCACGCTGTTGCCAAGCTCAAGGATACCACAGTAATCTCAGGAACTTTTAAGGTAATACGTAATACTAATATGGTAACCAGAGGTTAAGTCGTTCCTGCAACGATTCACTCCCTTGAGAACTGGAAGCACCGAACGTGTTGTAATCGAAAAAACGTGACTCTCCGACGAATAGAGGCATTGTTAAGCAATGTCAATCGATGAAGTAGTTTTATATGCAGGTTAGTTAACACCGGATGAAAAAGGCCAGAGTTTATGTCACGAAGTGACAGTCACCGGATCATGACCGTAGGACCCATACTCATCTATGACTTTGACCGGTGACTGTCACTTTGTGACATATGGAATACTAATGTTCAATGTCCGTGTTTCTAATGAAACCGAAAGTTTTCGTTATGTAATTAATACCTTAACATTTCGTGAAAATGTTTCATCAAATGCTCCAAGCTTCTTCCGACTTCATGTGATGGGGTCAAATGGAGAAGTATCTTTTCTCATTCAACCATGGTTAGCAAACTTTGCCTGCGCCGATGGTAAATGTCATAATCGTAGTACTCCCAAACCATGTGTCGGCGACAGATTTACAACCTGCGCGTGCCAAGTTAGCAAGCCGCTCTTGAAGGTGTTTGGGGCTCTTTACTAAGCCCAGGGCGACGCCGACGGCGGCCCACGCGAAGGCTGAGTGGCCGGCAGCGAAGCCGCTCGTAAAGAAGGCCAGGTGAGGCGAGGCGAGGCGCACTCCGCCGGGGCCAGGCCCGAGCTCATCAGGAGGGTGGGGCAGTTCACGCTGGCAACGCAAGTCCTTTCGCCCTGTCCCATCCTGTGCAGAGGTCTAAGGCAGACCACGTCTCTCTTCACCCATGCGTCTGGAGACTTCCCTGACTGCAAGGACTATAACTCCGTATGAGATATTCTAAAGTCAGGATGACCACTTTCTGGAAAAATCAGAGACTTTCATTGCTCGGGAAAATAGGGAATTTGTTTGAAGTCGGCGGAACATTTTGAGATGGTTATAAAACTAGATATTATTTACAGCAAATAGCTAAGAATTAGTTTTTGCTCAATTTAGATTTGTTGAGTTTTTTTATTTGTACTTTATTTTTCTACGGTGAATACAAAGAGCTGACAAATTAGTCTGAGGCTTGTTTTAGATAGTATGAAATGCTCCACAAATCTTATCGGTGATTTTTAATGCTTTGGAAAACCGGGGAAAGCCTGGTGAATTTCTTCCAAGAAATGAGTAGGCAACCTAAAAGTGACACTTTTGTTTCTTGCATTGGATAAAATCCATGTTGTTGTAATACATTATTTCTATATTTAGAGGCCTAAGGCTCAGTGACTTCATGATAAGAGATACTGAAGTGATCCCTTTATTTCTTGTATTTGTTGAAATCTATCGTATGCGGCTGCAGAGGGCCAATGGCCAAGCAAGAATAAATAAAAAAAATAAAAGTTGTTGAATTGTGAATTGACGTTATAAATTATTACTCTCATTGTGCTCTTCCTTATCCTTGGTCGTCTCTGTTATGTTTCTGATGGTATGAACTCAGCCAACTAAAAGAAAAATTTCTAAGGAAGTTGAGAATTAATAAATTGGCGATCTAGGCTTCCTGACATGCTTTACTTTTGCATTCCACCTCACAATATAAAAAGCCTTTCTTAAAAGTTAAGCTGTGTCTGTAAAAAAGCTACAACCCTTGCCATTCGAAAATGGGTGCATCTTACTGAGCTTTCCAACACGTGAGTGTAAATGTTTGATTAATTATCCACTAGCATTCAAAAATAGTATTATCAAAACCCGTGTGGAGTGGAATAGTTAGAAGTGTATTTCAACTTATATTCTTATTATCTCTTTGTCACTAAAAGTGCATACGCTGGTTTGACACAAGCTATCATTGCTTCATTGCCGTTACCTCTATAAAAGAAGCCATGACGTTATTTTCCTACATCATCTTGCCTTTTAAAGCACCTGCCGTCCCACTTACGATTCACTCACCCTCGCAGCCGTTTCCAGCTTTCCGAAACCCATTGTTATATTGTCCGGTCCACATTCCTTTTGAGCGCCGCTTGTACTACACTACCTGAGTTTCTGCCCCCACTGTGTTCTTGGCATTCGAAGCACCCTCAGCTCAGACTGTAAATCACTTAACAGCCGTTTCTCGCATCACTTTTTCTACCTGCACAGAGATACCTGGTAGAACAATCGACCAACACTAGCCAAGATATTTTTATGGGTTATGACGTTCATTAGAAAAATTATCAAAATGAGGTGCTCAATTGAAGTGAGAGTGTTGATAATTAAAAATCTATTATAGTAGTTCCATAAAATTTTTCTCACACTTTCCGTATTTCTTGCCGCTAGTGATTTTCGGCATTAGTAGATTCAGATTCATCGTATTTGAATTAGTGGGTTGTTACGATTCTCTGCAACAAAAGGAAGCCAGTGCGCATCCACGCGAGGGATTTTCATTCGCCCACTTAGTTCCTTGGCGGGCGCCCTCTGAGGCCTCGGCCGCGTCGGCCCTTCAGTGGAGAGCCCCGCCCTCGCTGCGCCTCGGCGGGGCGCGGCCGGTGCTCTCAGCCCGGGAGCTCAGGCGGCGACGCGCGCCTCGTTCCTCCACCCGCCGCCCCTCTTCGCCCCAGCAGCGCCCC